CAAGTCTGTCCACTGCGGTTTTTATGATCGGCATTCTAAGCTTTTATTGCGTTGTTGTAGAGTAAAGGACATAAAAKATTTTGATGGTCTAAGTAAATGTACGTTCTGCACGTACAGTAACAACTTTGTYATGCTAATGTCGATTAATCATTGGATTGATATCGATTTTATTCATTGTTTTAAAACAAAGTGTTGATCATTTACCTTAAGATAGTTTGGCTTTTCTGTACTAGTATCATACGCCATATCAAATCGCCTTTTCTCTTCCAATAAATCAATAAAATCTCTACAAGTATTGACCATAAAACGGTCACACTGTACATGAGTAGCCGAAACGTGTTTGCGATGCATTGTTTCGTCCCAATGCCAATTGTAGAAATCAAGAACAGAGACATCAGCGTCCGCCTGACGGACAAGTTGGGCGACCAGTTCACTCCCAATGATGTCACTAAAACCGATTACGAGAAAGCTTTTGCAATAACAACAACGGAAGAAGGTGATAGCAAAKACAAGATGAACCAACACCGTGATGCAGACCATGATGCTTACGATATGACCTTTTTTTATGTTATTTTCTGGATCAAGTAGTTCGGAATGYCTAGGGTGGGGTGGGTGAGTTCAAAGATCTGTAGTGGAAAAAATCCGTTGAGAMCACAACATGATTTAATAATATAAAATGTGATAAATGCAAAAGTTAAAAATACATATTTTGGAGATGGTAAAAGAAGGCCACTCGCGGCTGCTACTTTTGTGTCGAAATACTCCAATTTCGAGTTCTGGTTTGCTCTGTGTTAGCCTCAAAACCAAGTAAACATATTCTTTTGTTTCATTGATAGCTGAAAAAAAAACGCATGGAATTTGTGAAGAAACACAATAGAATTGATTTGAAATCTCACACATTTACGCTCACAATTAGGAATATTTTGCGCACAAATGAGGCTAACACAGGGCATTGGAGAATTCGAAACTAGAGTAACGGCCCTTCCTGTGGTTTACACTTAATAAGTAATTTTTCATTATTAAGTAAGTAGTATTATTATGTTGTTATCTTCTCGGATAATGACACCAAAAGTGTTGCATAAACATATATTTAAGTAATGACGAACATTTTTCTCGTCGTGATTATCCGAGCGCAAACCCAGCAAAGTCCCCTCCCTAATTAAGCCAGTGGCGTGACTAAGAGAGACAACAGTGTTGTATTCAGTTGTCTGACAGTCTGAGAACCCTCGTTAGTCAATAGATAGTCACTCGATTGCAATTAACCGCTAGACGTTCTAAGATGTACCGCGTATTATATTTGTTTATCAATATTTTCTTCYTGTGCGAGGCCAAATACTTTCTTGTGTTTGGTGGCAAYGGTTTGTTAGGTGCTGAGTTGGTGTCAYTGCTTCGTCTAAGGCCAGGGAACGAGATCGCCGTAGTAAATCGAGGAAACTGGTACTGGGATAGCAAGTTTCGCATAAAACCATTCGTGAGACATATTAAGTGTGATAGATATACCATCAAGGAATGCAAGCCACTGTTACAACTCATCCACGAAAAGAAATTCTTTGACATGGTGTATGACTTCAGTTCATACAGGACGGATCATATACAGGTATTAATACTAAATCATGTATTACGTTTTCAATTTGATTCCGTTCTGTAGTCCATACGTTTTTTTGACGACTATATGTGAATATATATTGGTCAAAGATGAATTCGTTTATAAAGGTTTGAAGAACCGTGAAACAAAAAGTTAGACATAACGCATCAATGGAATCTTTTCATTGCTGCGTGACGTTGTTTAGATGAATGTATATAAATGAATTATTCGCACCGTTATCATATGAACAGGCAAATTGATGATAATATAAAAACAGGCAATACAACAAAGGTTGATGCGTTATTTAATGTACAAAGCAATGAGTAGAATAATAGAGTTCTACATGTTATACAATGAACGTTGCGTGACTTTATGTGTAAAATTTTGGTAGGGGGTCATRCAATACTGCGTGACTTCTTATTCAAATTATGGAATGAAACATAACTTAGTGGGCACTGACTTGCGTGACTTCGTACATTAATTCAGGAATGGTAGCATAGTATTATGGAGTATTTTATGAAGTATCCTACAAAGCAAACAAGCTGTATTTACTGGCTTATGCACCGTTTGTAATGTAAATTGTTTCAATCAATTCATTTTCATTTCCCACAGGCTGTGGTTGAGCTACTGCGCAATCGTGTTGGTCGATWCGTTTACATCAGTTCAGACTCAGTATACGAAGTGTGCAAACCCTCATCCCATGGGGGTCCTAGTAGGGAGGAAGATGCAATCCGATATGAAGACTACACCGAACTCTACAAGCAGCCAAACTTTGACTTCTATGGTGACTCGAAACTTGGTTGTGAAGAGGTCCTTGAGAAAGAACATGACAACCATGGAYTGACATATGTCAGTCTACGACTGCCTGACGTCATCGGWCCRCGTGACAACTCCGATCGATTCTGGATCTACTTCCTGTGGGTCAAGTTCCAGGATGTTCTTGATCGTCCACTTTAYTTCCCACCTCGATTACATAACAAACAACTAAGTATGGTACACTCTGAGGACGTCGCAATGTTGATGCTGAGTTTGATTGATGCCAAAAATGACGTTTTCAACCAGCCATACAACCTGGCCTTCAGGGAGACAGCTACGTTGAAAGAATTTCTAGCCATATTAGGAAAACACGTGGGAAATACTAAACTGGTGTTTGACGAGAGTACAGTGAACGGAGCTGTKTATTTTCCATCGGTGAAGCGCGGCGCAGTGAATACAACTAAGGCGCAGAGAATGCTACAGTGGAATCCAGTATCGTTCACCGARGGAATAAAGAAGACCGCTGATTTCTATAATTATGCCATGAYGGCTAGTGAATTCCGACAGCAAAGAGAYGGYACCGTCGAGGCATTTGTGCGCCRCCCACAGATGGAACAATTTAAGAAGAAGTATAASGAAATTTATGGAACRGAGTTCAGCCTGAAATATAAGTTGCCGGTCCATAGTGACTTATAAGAAGTCTTAACGGACTAGCAGGACCATCATTTTGAAATCAGTTGAGATTGATATACACTTTGAAGTCCGAGTCAAAAAGGCAGTTTTTCATACGAAAATTCCACCTTTGTGCAATTCTATAAGCGAATTTTGACATGGAAGTAAGGCTGTTTAGACTCTCTCCATCTTTTGCAGAAGAACAAATACTCCCTGATTTTAAAGTCATAAGATTTTGCATCATCTGCTAGTGCACTTTCTACTGCTGTTTCTGGTGCTGCTAATGAAGCACGAAGCTTTACATACACGGTTTACGCAATGCATTGTAGGATACATGAGTGGGACAAAGTATGGTGGATTTTCTTGTTTTCTTCTACAAATCATTGCAAATAAAGTAGTGASGTAAAAGCTTCAGGAGCCTAAATTTCTGCTTACAATTAGAGTGCTTTTTGTCATACTGCGAAACAACTAAAAGTGCTTTATAGTTTCCAACGAAATTCCAGTCAAAGGAAAACGCCGTTTTGTCTCTTAGGGCCGCGAAAAGGCGCTAGTTTAACACTGCTGAAATGTTTGTTCCCCTTGTATTTCTTGGGGGT